GCTGTAAACTTTGTTTTCTAGCTGTGCAGTTGTTAGGATATACTTCTATATATTATCTTTTTATAGGTCTTATCTTTAGGAAAAAAGGCTTTACTAAAATCTCAAACGAAGTTGAAAGCTCAAATAGTTGTATGTAATAAGTTACCAGCCAATCGTGGTAAGTTATTTATTGAGTGCTTGTTAGGTATATTCGGCGTTGGTATTGTTTTTCTTCATCAAATCTATTATCATAGTCAAACATCTAGTTTCCATAGGCCAAGAATGCTGAGTCAAGTGACTATAGATATATGGTGGAAGTCTGTTGAAATTCTTGTTGAAAAAAAGTGAACGATTATCTCTGTGTATAAATGAGATAAGTGAACATTGTTACAGATTGAGAACTACTAGCGGGAGTATGAATCCGAACTTATATCTATGATAGCGTTGCTGACCCTTACCAACGTTGGATTGGTTGCGACCGTGCTATCATCAGCGTGCAGGAAGTTCTCTCGATTGCATTCGGGTGTCGTTAGACCACCAATTTACTTAGTACGCAGCAAGTTGTTCGATAAACGAGCATTTGCTAAATACATCGGAAATGTGTAATGTGATAACAATATAGCTATCCATATATATCTTATGATTTTCATTGAATTAATCTTATGTAGTAGAATTTCTCATTGATAGTCAGTCATACACAATATAGAACCTGATACATGTGCATCGTTTGAAGTCACTACACTACATAACTATTTATTTATTTTAACACATAGGTATTGGCACAAGGAGGCACCAAATACATATGCGCCACACAAAGCTCAATTGATTTGTGTGAGGGCTGTGATACTGCCCGGGTGCCCAAACCGAAGCAGGTGGTTTTCTTAAGGGGCCACACCCCAAGCCTTTGACCTGAACGTCTGACCCACAAGGCAGTGGAGCATCGTAAGGAGATGCAGTCCCATGGTAGCCGGTGACCAACGATTGGTTCATACGCCATTTTTTCCTTCAGGATACTGGAGCCCATGTGCACCATTGGTTTGGGATCCGGTTAAAGTGCCGGACATTCGCTTTTCGTCCTCTCATTTTCGTAAACAACACCCCCGCCACGTGAACGCAGTGAGTAGGACTTCCGTGGCAGAGGCTATATACGCGTGGCCATGTGAGAGCATTTCGAGAGGGGGAGCGGACTCTTCCCACTCTCGGCCGTACCAGGACACTACATAACTACTAAGAGATACACCAGAGTAGTAGAATTAGTAATGGTTTCAATGATAGCAGGAAAGATTCGGTATAGGAAGATGTATTTCAAGAGGAAAGTAAGAATTCATGATATTAAAGAAAATATTAGATAATTGTAAATCTAAAAATTTAAGGAAAAAACATAGTGGTTGCATCTGAGCCATTGAAAGTGATTGACAGCCACTGACATATGTTAGTTAATTCACAATCTAATACATTATTACTATACAATATAGCTTTTGGTTATTAAAACCAATACTTTAAACTAATATTTCAATTTTTCTGCCCCTCTGAAGGAAAGACCATCAAACCATCGTCTACGCTTAGAAGCCCATCGATCTCTAATTATTTCTTGCAACCTAAATCTCATAATCTACCAATTAATGAAGGTGTTATTAATGATACAGATAATCATGGTAAAGTTGACAACGTCATCATTTCTAATAATAATAATAATAATAATAATGATAAACCAATTGCTCCTGTGAAATTTAATAATGTTAATAATACTGATAGTGATGTAAGGCTTCAAATAATCAGAGTAAGTTTACTAATAATATATATTCCTTATTTGTTATATTCTTCCTTGTCTAGTATGTCTTGACTAGTTAACATTTCACTTGACTGTATTATAACTCAAATAAAGAATGGGTTAGCAATGAGATATATCCCAATAAACCGAAATAATAAAAATACAATAACATCATTACAAGAGTTGATGTAGAAATTGCATCAGAAACCCTCAGTATCTTATTAGTTCGTTCACTGATACAGATTAGTTAATAACGATCTATCCAGCTATTTATAAAAAAACCAAAACTGTTTAGTAAGCCTTATTCTTAAAAGCCGGATAATTGTATTAACAAGCATATTTGTAGGTTTTCACATTGAAGACACGTGTGTTATGTTTTGGCTAGATGAATATTTCACTCATTCATAATAACCATCTCACATTTGCACCTCAACATAGCTGTGAGATCCATACTAAACCCGAAGGTTAGACTTGACAATTAGGTCTTAATTGATTAGAGAATAAGTGACCTACAAGCTGATTTCCTCCAATCGCCTATGACATTTTATCATATTTGTGTTCATATTCTGTATATATGCATTACATGGAAAACTGCCGCACTGGTTAGTGGTTTTGTCTTTGATTTCTATGTATTCGGAGTCCTAAGTCAGTTGTACCTTCACGTGAGTAACCAACACTCAGTCATATTATATCACTGTGTTGATTCTTGTACCTACTTATATATGCTTGCTTAGTACTATTTTCCAAACGAAATCTCATTCGTATTTTGTAGCGTGGTTCTCTATTGAGTCGTTTTGCTGGGGGCCTCGTTCCTGGTTATAAATCTGAACCTACCCAGATTCATTCAAATGTTTACGATGGTTTCGATGTTGGTACGTCAAAAAGTGAAAGTCGTCGCGACCAAACACATCTAGATTTACGGAGCAAGGTCGGTCTATCGTGCTTTAGTGTTATGACGGCTCAAATTAAACCAGAAAAAATCGACTCATTTGATGATAACGGTGCATCTAACCAGAATTCTCTAAGATCCCGTAATTTTCCCATTAAGGTTAGTTCTATTTCATGCAAAGATGCATTTAGATAATAATCGCTTACAACAATTTATTTCAGGTTTTACTTAAGCTAGTCAACATACATTTCAAAACTTTTAATTTAATTAGACTCGCTTTTCCTTTCTGTATAAGACTTATGAGACGTATACTTCTGGAAATAGCTCACAACTAAAGCTTAGATAAAGCTAACTTACATACATGTTCCGTTAAAATGCACTGTCGAAACATTTTCATCATGCTTTGCTCAGTGTGTTAACTATGAAAGCACATTATATTTTTACACCCATCAATATTTTGTCCCTCAGCCACAGTAATCCTGTGTAGCTATTTGGTGACTTGTAAACGGATTTATCTACTTTCCATGCAGTACGGTTCGGGCATCAGATTAGTATTAGATCACAGTTTTATAGCTGCTTACAATTATCTTTCTGTTAGTGCTACTCATTTACAATATGGTTCTCAGGAAATTTTCTGGTATATCTCTAGCGCAGGTTATATTTTCGACTACTATGCCCCTATTCTGGTTGAATCGTTTCCTATAAATCTTTTTGATCACTTAAGTATAGACTCTAATCTCCAGACAATAAATGCAGCTGCGAACCTTTACTTCATTGTATCAACATTACCATACCATTCTACATAAGAGAAACGGCTTTATCTTCACATATAAGTACAGTTCTTACTGTTACTAACTTAACTAGTTTTAGCCATTCCCAAATGTCTCTAGTATTTTGCATAAAGACTTGTAATATATAATACTCCCGTTACCTAATATTATGAATCGTAAGGTTGTAATGTTAGTATTTCAGGAACTAAGCCTTCCTGATTTAGACATCGTTACCTCATTACATTATTCTATCTTTTTCAAATTTTTCGATCTGAAATCAATCAGATTGCTACTTATGCAAGTACCTTAACACTAGTTCCTTTAGAGACAAACCTATGCCTAATCAAATCCAAGTAACGAGTTTTTATGGCTTAAGCAATAAATGACCTGCTCGCTGTTAAAATTCCAACTCAAATAGCAGCATCAGTAAAGGTATATCATTATGTAAAAGCACAAACCTGCTGAGTTACGAAATACGCTAGTCGACTAGTTTTTCTTCATAACATAGTTACTTAACATGAATTTAAGAAAATACCTTACGATGTCTTGGCATTGCAATAACTCATATTGGATAGTCTGCATCATAAAGATACGCATCACCTGGAACTCTAGAATCATGTATCCCATCAAATAACAACTGATTAAATTTCATAGATTTCGTTTGTAACAACAAACCCCAATATTTATTTTTTTTCAGCAAAAACGGCCAGTTGATGTGATTAAGCCTAATTCTGTATTGTTAAGTCCTCCAAGTTTGAAACGCCATCGATCTACTAGTGTGTTTACTGCTCTTCTGTGAATAATCTTCTACTCTGTTTTGTTTAGCAAACTGTAAAAATGATTTATTTGAAAAAGCCTTTCATGTTTTATATATTCTTTTGTTGTAGTATAATCTTTGTGTAAATCAGTGTTATCTTTCTGTATATTGAGAACATTAAAATGTGTTGTTTTTATCATGTGTACAAAATTAGTAGTGCTGAGGTTGAGTCTTAAAATGTAGACGTAATCTGGGTTTTAAGACACAACAGCTTCTACAGTACAGATATATCATGTGTACGAAGTAGAACTTGACTTTTTTATTCAACTGATAAGTATTAGTGTCAAATGGTCTCTGAGTCACTCCAATTTAACATTCTTAATAGGCTGACTAGTTTCCAAGGACATCTTTACGATTACGTTCGAAATTATCTTTACTTTGAGGAAGATCGTTATACTTACAGGTTTCTTCGTGAGCTCTGTCTTGAGCTTTCCAGATGTACTTTGGGGCCTTTTTTTCTTCTATTAATTTCTGACCATTCCACTCTTATCAACATTATTATAAATGTCACTTTTTACTATATTACTGAATTTAATGACGCCAGTTATCTGCCTTATGAATTCCGTTGACAAGTTTACATCGACGTTCTCAATGTTCTAACTCCATACCGCACTAAGTAACAGGTTTAATAACTTCAGATGCTGGATATGTTTTGTGTTACTGAGACAATAAAAGTAACTTAAATGCCACTAGTGTTCCCGTAAGTGGTAATCCGTATTAACTATCATGGTAACATAACAAGGTTCAAATATCTGCCACTAAAAACAAGAAATGTTCGAGAAGAGTTATAAAATAAGTGTATTCAATTTTATAAAGGAATCTGATGTAAGTGTTACAGTACGTCAAAAATAAGCATTGAAAAAAGACTAATGAAATATAAATAGCTTTAACGGTTAAAAACAAAAAATATGCACATGAGTATGGATAAGTTAGTAGTTTTTTAATAGTAATAAATAGACAACCAAAAAAGTAATCAGTTTTACTTTCGACGTTTTTTTTTACAATCTGGACCTTCTAAAAAAGGAAAATAAATAATGTTCCTTGAAATAACTGGTACACAATAAGTAAAATTAAGAGACACATAAAAGTATATTTTTCACATCATATTACAAAAGATAGTAATTCAACTTGGTAGTTGCCGCTGACAGTCGGAAAACTAAAATATACTACACCATTATTAACAGTTTATGGAAGATTTATATATTTTATTATGAACGTAACATATGTGAGATTTCTTATTAGGAATAATTAATGTTCTACTGCCATGTTGTTCCTTCGAACGAATGGAGGTTAGACAATTTTTGATGCATCATTTAGAATTTGATGAGGTAAATTCATCCTTCAGGTCAAAAAATACGACTACAATTCTGCATCCGTATGCCCATTTCGATAGCTACATTCAGAGCAAGGTTTTTTCAAGTTTCATGTTTCTGAGCTTTGATTAGGTGTCAGATTACGATAGAATCTAATTTTTTAAAAATTTTATTCGTTTAGATAAATCTTCAGTTATTATAGCGAGGGAGTTTGAGTTTCTTATGAAATAAGAACGCTCAGAGACGACAACCAGTCTAGCCCTCAAACTCTGACTAGTATTTCAGTAAACATAACTGCTAAAACTGGACCACCACATTTAAAGCTGTTCGATAATTAAAACCGATCGCTTTTCCTTTCTTCGTGTTTGTTATAAACTTCAGAGTCGGTTGATAATACTGATCACCCGTTCAAGCTGTCGAGGAAATCTGAATAACTAGGTGTAGCTAAGGTTTTTAAAAATGTCTCATTTATGACTCCAATCAACTGAATTAAATGTCAATCACAACGTAGAACCTGGTACGTATATACATCGGTGCAAGTTGTCACATCCTATCAGTACACAGATGAAATTGTCAGGCCAGATGACAGAATAGCAGAGGTAGTATCAGTGGATTAAATGTAACTTCCTTTTAAATGTCAGTCTTACTAAACTGTCTAGTGACATCTACTACGCGTCACGGTTTACGTTCAGTGGGACACGGGAATAAGTAACGAATGCACAATCGAGTTTAAAATACATATCATGATTATAGGGATATGAAGAGCACATAAAACAGTATAATAGAGTAACTACTAGAAAGTTTATCCAATCAAATGCGATCTATGTGTATCGCGTGAAGAACGTGTGTTAACTGATTTTTAAAACCATAGCAGAGAACTATTCTAAGGACAATAGAATCATGGACGTTTGAGTTCAAAGTACACGAAATGTAATTTGAAGATAAACAATATAGATCTAAAATTAAAAAACATACTTTCGTAAGCCCATGCCTCCATTACTGTCAATCGCGATATAACATTTAGCATCGTTATAAGCTGCTGAGAATTTTTCTATAGATGGACTCATAGGACAATAGTCAGATGCCATTGTGCTTTGAGAACTATGTGTTGAGACAGATTCATTAGAAGGTCTTCTCGTTGGTGAATTAGAATAGCGACGTTTTATCCCTGATCGACGAGAAGTTTCACTTATAACTTGTTTCAAATTAGCATCAGCGCCTCTGGGGCGACTTTTCCTATAAGAAGTAAAAAAACGTACATAATTTAGATCTTAACGGAACGTTTACAGAAGTGGTGAACCTGGATCAGCGTAGAATCTAAATTAAAGGTCATCATCAGTTTTCAAAAATAGCTTCCCATTAATTAAGCCTCTACTCTGCTAAGTTCACCGAAACACTTTATTTCATTTATAATCTAAGGCAGGTAGTTTAAATTAATGCGTAAATATCTTCTAATACTCTTTGAAGCTACTGCCTTTAGAATATACTACTCGAATCGAGTCAATACAATCAACTACTGATCCTCTATAAAAACTGAAGCAGTAAAGATTTGACTGCATTTTGGAGGTGTAAGCTGTACGTATTTGATAGTTTGTATGTAGAAACGCACCCGCCTAATCCACGTAAAGATGAGCAGAGACTATAAGTTATACTGTCTAGATTAGTGATTGATATGAGCACACAAAAACATTACTACAACCGATCAGCGAGGGTGAAGGCATATACTAGGTTAGATATATTCCATATAAGGTGAATTAACATGTATAGTAATTCGTAAACGAGACTACACGACTTTTTCCGAATGCTCTGATTGTACTGAAAATTTGGACTTATAAACTTAGGATTATACGGTCAGATGTTTGGATAAGCGGGTTACTGAAAACTATTCTATTTATACAGTTATCATATTTTATGCTAATTATTTAGTCGGATCCACAAGTGAACACAAATTGCTGGATAAAAATAGATATTCGTAATATTACTTCAGGAAAACCCAATTCTTAGCAAGAACCTTAATAAAACGACAGTCTAAGAACACATTCAAGTGAAGACAATATTACCTTTGTTCGCGGCCTGGAGAAGACTGACGTAAAACTTCTATATCATTAAAAACAACAGCCGAACCGCCACCAGCAGTAGGAATAATGGCACCCTATAAATAAAGAAAATGGAACTAATGTTTTGCACTACCACTAAGGAATAAACATTTGAAATCGTCAAAATTAATAGGATATAAAATCCTTCAGATGCATGGCAATAATAAACGATAACTTGGGAACTGATGAAAGGCGAGAACCATTAAAAGAAAACAACTGCAGCCGAACTTGAACTGCCAGATAGAAGCACCAACTAATGGTTGTTGTCTTGTACATTTAAAGTCGTACGCCTTACACATTCTGCAAACCAAATACAAATAATTAATCGGTTGTGCATTTTATTTCTAGCCTTATACCACAGCTTGTTTTCATACTACTCCTTTTCCCATAAAAACAATGACCGAACTGTCAAAAACTCGGCATAGCCAACAAAGGATTATTTAGACAATTTTTACAATCATCAAAATGGATATGTCTGAAAAAATTCCTTCGTTATTTACAATACCATTGAGTAATGATAAGTACTTCAGTCAGTCGGCTACAACGTAGGACCGACACATGAGAATCGATCCAAGTTGTCATACATCATTAGCACAACAAGATGAATACCAAATTCATAGAAGTCGTTAATTCAGTGGTAGTAATATATAAAAGAAAGATTGTATACAAAGATATACTACAAGAAGAAAGAATTAGTTCGTAGAAAGAAAGGGATGAAGCGATTTCAATCTCTTAGTTTGAAGGAAGACGGAGAGTGTATACGCCGACGCCATTGTGATCGATTCTAAGCCATGTCACACAGGGTCTCCAACCATAACTACTTTTTGGGTATCGAATAATAGTCGTTAATAGATTTATTTATACTTTGTGTTACTGATGACTTATCACATGGAAATTATCTACAGAGATATTATAAACAAATTGATGTTGAATTCTTTTGATATGAAATAGTTAAATAATTATTTTCAAAAGATCACTATACTCATCATACACTACTTACTTTAAAAAGACTTGTTTCAACGTTACCATCTGAATCTGCCTCTTGATGATGTAAAAGATAGTTATCCGCATTCAGAGTATCTTTCAGTTCAACACGTGTAACAGATTTCCGATGTTTCAAATTTGGTGTAAATATTGTGCCTAAAGGTGTATTATTAGCTTCTTGATGCTCTAACCAACGCGCATTATCCCCACCGACTGATCGAGATCGACGGTGACGAGGATTAAACGCTGGAGCAGCACGTCTTTCATTTAGTTTACCAGGAGTCAATGCGACCCTGTCGTCAATTCTTTTGGTATTGTTATTATTAGGACGTGACAGTAATTTTGATTCTGCTTGTTGTTGAGCTAGTCTTGATTCCCACTGTTTGGATAATGTACTGACTAAATTCTATGAGATTTAAACAAATATTTTTTACTCAAGTTTAAGAGATAATTCAAGGCGAAGGAAAAAAATTCTGATACTCTACAAACATGTTTTAAATCCAATAATTTTAAAATACCACAATATCACATTTAGATAGCAGAACACTAAAATATAATGAAGAATAACCAAGAATAGTGACTAAGGAGATCAGTAATAACAAAAAGCTGATGAACACTCAATTAGTTTATACGGTTAATAATAGGACTTAAACTTCAGAAAGTGTTATTCATCTACATGAAATATGAACAAATATGACGATTGTGACTAGACTTTATAAATTAAATTGAGATTTAGGTTTTGATTTTTATACGGTGATTTATAACTTAATAAAAGATAATAATCTATTTAACTATCGACAAAATTAAAGCATAACTTGTGTCAAGTCATTGGATGACGGTTTCTGAATACAGATATAAAAGCAAAGTTATCGTGAATTTACCAGAAGATAAACAAGCAAATCTCCTTAGGGAGGCATGTAATCTAAGTTGCAGTCAATACTAAACGGAAAAATACGATATCAATCCTTAAAGTCCTTGATATTATTTATGGGGAACCACACATTTACTAACAAATCTGAAATATACGAATATGAATTTGATAACTCTCAGTAATGGAAAGTAGAGATACATTAGCTAAGGATGTGTTCTCATGTCCTAGATGTAGAAAATAACAACATTCCTCAAGAACAAGAGTTGGATGCAATTTGCTTTTGCTCCAGTCTGTACACCGAGATTACAAATCATAGAGAAGTTTCAAATTTAGCATGATGAAAATAACAAACGATAGTTCATCTTCATTTATTTATTTATTTTAACACAGGTATTGGCACAAGGAGGCACTAAATACATATGCGCCACACGAATCTCAGTTGACTTGTATGAGGGCTGTGATACTGCCCGGGTGCCCAAACCGAAGCAGGTGGTTTTCTTAGGGAGCCACACCCCGAGCCTTTGACCTGAACGTCTGACCCACAAGGCAGTAGAGCATCGTAAGGAGATGCAGTCCCATGATAGCCGGTGACCAACGATTGGTTCATACGCCATTTTTTCCTTCAGGATACTGGAGCCCATGTGCACCATTGGTTTAGGATCCGGTTAAAGCGCCGGACATTCGCTTTTCGTCCTCTTATTTTCGTAAACAACACTACGGTCACGAGAAGGCAGCTAGTAGGACTTCCGTGGCAGAGGCTATATACGCGTGGCCATGTGAGAGCATTTCGAGTGGGAGAGCGGACTCCCCACTCTCGGCCGTACCAGGGCATTTGGGGGCAGTTCATCTTCAAGATCAGTTCTTATGATTTCAAGCACCAAAGTATTCTAATTGAAAGCGTTATCGGTTCAACAGCTAGTAGACCCACTCGATAAAGATTTCAGAGATGTCATTATACGAACACATGGGAAAACCTCAACTGGAATTATTGACATATTGCATATGACAATTCCCCAGCCTCTCTGATGCGTGCACAGACTACAGAAACGATAACATTTACTTTCCAGCTTTAAAATCATAAAGTATTAATTTTTATTTATTTTCCCTTGTTTATTTTAATTTTAGTACCTCGGTACTTTGGTTGAGCTTTGGGTTCCTGTATTTTAGTGTAGCGACTTAAACCTATACATTTTTATGCGGATTTTCGTTTCAATATGCTTGCTAATCTGAAATCATTTATAAATTGTTATATGCCGATAACTAAGTCATGGTTTCGATGCTTGTGCGAATCAATTAGTTTGAACTGGGTTGAAGCAATGAATCACCAAATGGTTGGAATCTGGATACATAACATCTCTACTTTATTTCCCCTCACTAACCATCGGAATTCCAAAAACTGAGATTGATCCAGAGAGCGTTAGGTTCATCGAAAGTCACGCCTAAAACTTGTTATAGAATAGAGACATCAAATACACCCATCCAATTAGTATACATTACTGTAGTAGCGGCTATCCACTATTAAGGGATCACAAATCATGTCGAAAGCTGTTCATGTCTTCCTGGTTTTTAATGATTCTCAAATTGATGTCAGTTTACAACTAGAAGTATCATCAATTTGAATTTATCTCCACAAACTATCCAACCAAACAGACGATATCTCAACCTTATTAAAGGTTGGAGGTAAGAATTTCTCCTAAAATTATCTATCTGATATCGTATAATGCAAATCCCTGTAAGTCAACGGATATGGCTAGTTATTTTGACTCAACGTTTTGCCACATGTGTGAAATCTAGAGTGAATATAGAAAGAATGAGGGCCTACATATCGAGATATGAAATCAGACTTTGAATTTACCAGTTATTAAATGAAATGTGCGGAAGATTCTAGGTGAGGAGCGGTTAATGAGTTTGACTTCTGGTCACTGAGTCCCAAGTTTAAAACCCGCTCTACCTACTTCGGCTTAGACAACTGGGTAATAATCATTACCCTTTACACTTAGAGTGCAGCCCATACCCAAGTATCTGGTGAATAAGTTAATCATAACAAATTATTTATACGCGTTATGACTTCAGTCAGTGATACTAAAAATGGGAGGTTAAAAATAGCATGACGGAGCTTGAAAACAAGCACAAATATACGTTATCTTGTTTGACCTAGTACCTGATATACTTTCTAATATCCTCCTCCCAAATTATCTCAATACTTTGGAAAGTTTTTCCTGTTGACTGCTGAAATATACAGTTATATCATAATCGCAAGTTGTTAGAAAGTTACCAATTCTTAAGTGTGACAACCGAAGAAAAATACCTAAAAATTAGAGTTCATGACATATTGTACATTCCATTGGTTACCCCACAATATTCGAGCGTCACATTTATAGTAATCTAACAGATAAACAATCAAAAAGCAAATCAGTAGTTAGTAACTTACTCTTCCAGGTTTCGGTTGATTTGTTGTGACAACTTCCGGACTGATATGCTTTTCATTATTCAGTAATTCAATGAATAGAGCCTGGAGATTAGGAAATAATGTTTGCAAGGAATCATAAGCCTGTTTCTTACGTTCTAATCGACGATTAATTAAAGCTCGTAAAGGATTTGTGTCAATAATTTTTAAATCGAGAAATGGCCTTGGTAACCTGTCTTGTTCAGGTGCTGAGTCTTGTTCACTTTCATCAGGAGACAAATCTGAATTTTGATCCTGTAAACCAAGACCGGCAAGTATGTCAGAGTCATTAAAATCAGTTATATCGAAATCCAGATTTAAACCGACGAAACTATCGCCGTTAGACATTTTGTTTAAACAAGAAGTGATTTCACGATCCAAGAAATCCAAATCAGCAAAAATTTGAGTAGACTGATCATCAATGTTCTAAAATTGCAAAAACGAAATAAGTTTGGTTTATAAATAGAAATATATATATAAGGAAAATTAGTGTGGCGCATATATATTTGGTGCCCCCCTGTACCAATATTTATGTGTTCAAATAAAATAAAATAATAAGGAAAATTAGTTCAGCGAAGAGTTCTCTTTTCGGCGAATTCATTTTCAAAGCAATCGCAAATATATATACTTATTTTTACAGGATGATAATAGTACTGATAATAAACTTGTTATACATGGTGACAGTGAGGTTAAATAAACAAAGGTATTAAAAAAAATTTAAAACAAGGGAAGTTTAATAATCGTTTGATTGTTAATGGCTTAAGCATTCATCAAAAGTTAGATAGGGAAATTATCATTTGGAAAAAGATGGCTCAGCATGATAAGACAAAATGTTGAAATAGAGATGAAATGTAATCGGAATGATCGTGGAAATAAAAACAAACCAACTGGGGGTAGAAGATTTAAGGGGAAGATGGAAGGTGAAGCAGATGGTTGTAAAGGAACAAGAGTATGAAAAAGAGAAAAATTTTAATACATTAAGACCATGGTAGAAGAAGAGGTTGTACTAGTCTCTTTTGCACACACAACTCTGGTTTTTCCAGATGTATGGCTATTGCTACGGCAATGCAAAGAAGATGCAATATAATTGCCTTAGGAAGACTTCTACTTACCTTGTAGATGACTTTGAAAATGAATTCACCGAAAAGAGAACTCTTCGCTGAACTAATCTTTCTTATTTAATGTCTTAATGGGTGTATTCCATTTATTGATATATATATATATATATATATATATATATATATATATATATTTCTGAAACTTACAACAGTTACGACAGAATTTTCTGTTGTACTTGAAGAATCATCAGAAACACGTACAGGAGTTTGTAGTCGTGGACGGCTCTGGCCATAGGGTGCACGAAAGGGAGTTGGTTGGACAATATTGCGGTAGGTTGTTAATTCCTGACTTGTCTCAGCAAATTTAAGGACGTGCTAAAGTTAATTGAATAATAAAAATTATATACATTAAAGTACAGTCGCTTATTCGCAAAGGTCATTTTCTGTGGTAAACTAAGGAGCACTCAAATACAGGTACTTAAAACTACCATTTATGAATGAAATGTTTCGAAAGAAATCACTCAAAGAATTTATAAACCCAGACACAAAAGTTCACTATTTCGAGTTTCCACACTTCTAGAGTTGTTTTTGCCAGGTCGTACTAGAACCAAAAAGCAGTAAGAACAGTAACACAACGAAAACACTAAATACCGTCCATAACTTGTATGAATACGATTTCTCATGAAAAACTTTAGATATTACAGAATACGTCAGCCAACATACACTAACGTTTTATTCTAGTTCCTAATCTTAAACTAAATGCTACGTATAAAGTTTATTAAACTTAATCTTTATTTATTGATTTGAACATATAAATGGTGGTATAAACGGGCACAAAAATATATATGCACCACATAATAAAGGTTCTTACATCCCGGTGAAATGTGGTACTTATCGGAGTATCATAGCCCCTCTCAAACTAATAGATACAATAGATCGCCTAATCGACAGATTTTTAGATTGTGTTTGGGAAAGGAATATCATTTATGTAATCATCACATGGCAAATGCTTGAGATTAATTTGATCTAACGTGGTCGATTGAAGCTCGGAGTTAGTAACGATATCTAGCGAATGCCGTTGATAATCCCATCCTAAATCTCAGAGATGGGACGAGTTTAATTAAGGTTGACTAACAAAAAGCACGAAATATCTAGTCTTATTTTTAGTCACTAGTCACCCACCAAACACAAAAATATTTCGTGATAAACGGTTACGAAGCACAAGATTAGATAAATAAATGATTTAAATACACTATTGTGAAATCTTGCTTGAATTAAGCGTATTTTGGTTGTTACTTATGTCTAGACTTTCTAAAAACATCTCACGCTAATGGTAAAAAGCCGTTGATCAACCTGATGAAACACAAGAAAGTGAGTTACATTTAGTCCAGGATCACCAAGCACCCAAAAAAATTAACGTGAAATTACCAGTTTTATGTGCTAGTGAATCCTAGTACTTAAATAACGCCTGTGTAAACAGGTTGGAAATATTACGTTTTGTAAATGAGGTACAAGAATAATACCATAACAACTAGACACATACCATGGTTTCCTCGTATTCTTCTGGTGCTTGCTGAATGCAGACAAGCATTGCAACACGACCATCGCCCTCAAAGAAGTTCTTAAAAAGATATGTTAACCGAGCATCACGGTATGGAACAACACGTGTGTGTCCAACAGGAGTAGTTGTGGTTCCCCGACTTTTACTTCCATTAGTTTGAATATCACGCAAGGCTTTGATACACTTTCGAAGATTCATTAGGGAATTGTTAATGTTAGCTGAAACATCAAAATATAACATAAAGAATTTTGATTGAAATTGGAATGAGGTTATCCAAACTCAGGGTGTTCAACGAAGAATTGTTAGAAACATATGCATCTTAGCCGTGATATCTGTATTGCTATACACAAATTACATCAACAGTTAGTGAACTTATGGACTAGTGTAATATCTTCGTTCATCCACCTCTAACTTACTTCAACTTGATATAACTTCATTTAATGTCTAGTTTGTTTGTTAACCTCAAAATGGCTGACTTGATGATTTCACTATTTGAGCGAACTAACTTCTACAAATGTTAACAGATGAATCTCACTTGAATATTAAAAAAGCAGTCAGAAAATGGTGCAATAATTAGTGAAATTCTGTAATGCTGAATAAACTCATGAACTAAACTATGGGGCGCATTTACTGAGTCATTATTACTACTAGGTTTTACAAGCATCAAGAGATGGAGTAGCGTTCCAAATAGTGACCTATTTGAAAGTCAGGTTTCTAGAGTAATAAACAATAAACCTAATTTACAATAGATAGTTGGTGTTTTTCTGTGATGTAATTTGGAAGAAACAAAACAAACACTTTACATCCATGCTGAAAATTTGTTAACACTAAACCAAGGAGTCTCACTTTATCCAACAAACTAACAAAAAAAACGAATGCCTACATGCTTCCTTCAAGCGATTTCCCTGCGTCCCACTACGGCTTGTACGTTCGGAACCAGCGAGATCCACAAGGCATAAATGACTGATGACGACAGACTCCTTATCCTGTCAATGAAAATAATGCATGTATCAGTATTGAAAACAGCAATATAACTATAGTGCATTTTCCAGTGGTCATGACATTTGATCTTACATTATGGTATCCAAAGCCACTAAATCACGGTGACTAGGGATCCAATATAGGATTAGCGAGTCACTCTGAGGGATTCTAGCTGGACTCAACAACATATCATAAATTGATCCCTTTCGAAAATATGGTATGTTAATCACATGACACTATGGTTTTCCGGATAAGACTCTTTGCTATGAGCACAAAGATTTAACATTATCCTATTTGATAATGAAACCATGCTATCTGCATACTCAAAACGTTAAGTTCGTAAAAACGACAATTACCGCCTCGAGATTAGGTTACGGAATAAGGCAGACGAATAACACCATTTAGTATACTCGCAAGACTAACGTGAACTTATTTACCTATTTGAACACATATTGGTACAAGGGTTCACCAAATACATATACGCCACACAATAAAAATGACGTTGTGAAAAATTAGAGAATACAAAGTACGTTAAATGAAGGAACAACAACAAACAGAAATTAGTGTATGACGATGAAATCAGTCAGTCAGCTACAACGCACGACCGGCACACATGTGCATCCGTCCAAGTTGCCACACTTCATTAGTACAACAACATGAACACCAGATTCACAGTAGCAGTTAACTCAATGGTGTAATATATAAAGGAAAGATAGCATATAAGGACATAGTACAGGAAGAAAGTTAGTTCGTAGAAAGAAAAATACGGAATTTTAATCTTATCGATTAAGGGAAGGCAGAGTGTATACAACTACGCCATTGTGATTGATTCTGACGCATGTCACCCACAGTCTCCAACTATTGGTTATGATAGTCACGCGGACCCCAACCAGGTAGTTTGCGTCTACCAACATGGCTCAGATCAGAAGTTAGTGACTTCGAACACTGATGCCACGTTTTGGTTTGGCCGCCCTCAACGTTCTTCCAACCATCCCCAACACTAGTCAGCATTGCGCGTCGTGCTGCTCGGTGTTCAGTCATACGCAACATTTTGCCCAACCATCTAAGCCGGTGAACATTTACAACCTCATCAACTGATTTACCATTATTCCCTAATACCCTGTGTCTAAACTCATTATTACTTACGCGGCGATAGCTGCAGCTGCGAGCAATATTTATAAGACATCTGTGATCGAATACTAATAACTTACGAGTATCTTCTACTCTTAAAGGCCATGTTTCTCAGCCGTATAGTAGAATGGAACGAACTGCCGCGCAGTATACTCGTCCCTTAATTGATAGACGGATATCTCGCCTTCGCCATAGATGACGTAAGTTGGCAAAGGCCAAACGAGCTTGTCGAATCCGTGCTGAGATTTCATCAGACACCAACCCATTAGGGCTGATCAGACTTCCAGTACAGGTGAAGTTTTCAAAGCGTTCGGCAACTTCACTCCCTATCCTTAGTTCCAGTGTCGATGCAGACCAGTCCAGAAGCAAAAACTTGCATTTAGAGGGAGAGAAGCTCATTCTAAACATTCTGGCATTGTTGTTCAGTGCTACCAAAAGACTGCATTTTATCAGCGTCTTCACCAAACAGGACTATGTCATCTGCGTATTCTAAGTCAATAAGTGGACCTCCTGGTAGGAGATCAATACCTGAGAATTCAGTCAATGAGAGCGTTATTTCCATCAGCATGTCTATGGTGAAGTTAAATAAAAATGGACAAAGTGGACAGTCTTGACGGACACCACTTGAGGTTGCAAAATCAGATGACAGTTCGCCATAAGCTCTTACTCGATTAGTAGTGTTCGAGTAAAGAGCCTTCACAAGGTTTATGTACTTCTGAGGTACGCCTATCAGTGACAGACACTGCCATAGAACCTCTTGGTCTACAGAGTAAAATGCTGCTTTTAAATCAATAAAGACCACCATCGTCGGACGCCGGTAACCAAGTCTGTGTTCCAGAACCTGACGAACGGTGAATATGTGGTTGATGCGGGCACGACCAGGTCTGAAGCCATCCTGATTTTCTCATGTTTGCAGTTCACGAGTCTTTGTTAGGCGTTCAATGATTATTGAGGCTAGTATTTTAGATGCTACGTTAGTCAAACTAATCCCCCTACGGTTATCACAGGATGATTTTGATCCCTTCTTATATATTGGGAAAGTCAGTGATTGCGACCAGTCAGATGGGATTACGTCCAACTACCAAATTTGAGCTAAAACATTAGTCAACCTAATCTTAAAACTGGACCACCGTAGATAAAGACCTCTGAAGCCAATCCATATGGACTAGCTGCTTTTCCTCGTGTTAGATTAGATATGGCTTTCTGAACATCAGTCATAATCGGCGGGCCTACTTCAATGTCCCATTCAGGCTATTTAGGGATAGTGGGTAGTTGTAGAATAGCTGAAAGCCAGTTGAAGTGCTCATTAAAGTTTCACCCATCGTTCTAAACGTCTGGACTGAGTAGATAGGAGCATTGTCTTTTTCCGAGATCGTCACACTCACATTTAACTTCTTAATTCCAGTTTCTTTTATTAGTCTGAAAAGCCGTCTGATGTTACCTACAGCCGCTGAATTTTCCATTTCTTTTGCTTTTGCTGCTCACCACTGTTCAAGGTCGTTCCCTACAATTTCGGTTCGGAGCCAGATGGGGTGAGTTTACGAGGATCTATCAGTGCAATAAACCTAGTAGAAATCCACTGGTTTTTCGTGACCCTTTGGTTCAAATCACTAATAGACGTCTCTGCTGTTTTTACAGTTGTTTGTACATCTTACCATGCCACATTTGGGTCAGCCTTCTTTTTCAGAATTGCCTAAGTATGACCTCAGTTGTTCCTAGAATCTATTTTTCACTTTCTCGTCACTGAGTCCGACTCGGATGGGTCTTCTTAATGTGGTTTTTCTGCGTCCAGTGAGGCGCAAGCAAATGCGTGCTCGTATTAGAGCATGATCATTCTAAACGTGTACTCCAGAACGAGCAGCAGTCTCATATCGATCCTCTCCAACTATGAGTGATGGCAATATTGCCTATTTGAGTCCATCGGTTTGATGCGAGGGGTCACCATGTTGGACGATATCTCCTTATACTTAAAATCAGTGCTTGCTAAAAACGGATGCCTGAGCAGTTGCAGCAGACGTTCACCATTATCTGCTCGCTGAGCCAGAACAATAAAATACCCATCTTAATGTCTTTCTCTTTGGTTTAAGCTACCTATTCGGGCACTAAAGTCACCTGCTACGAGTAATATATCTGGGCGTTTAGCTTTTGGGGAGTTTAGAAGGCTTTCTGTAAAAGTCATCTTTCACTTCATACAGGCTGCAATCAATGAGAGCGCAGGCAGGAACGTGTGTCCCTGCCCTTCCGAATTCTCACAGGGCCACTTAACCGAACAGTACATGGGCGACTATTAACAGGGACCCATTCTACTAGTGTTTGTTCTGCCCTCGTACTTAGTGCTATGTCTATACCCGTCAATACACGGGTCGCCAGATACATGGAGATTATCTCGTTAGCTCTTTTGTGAGTATTATTAGTATTATTATTATTTTAACACATAAGTATAGGTACAGGGAGGCACCAAGTACATATGAGCCACACAAATCAAAATTGATTTGTGTGACGACTGTGATACTGCCCGGGTGCCCAAACCGAAGCAGGTGGTTTTCTTAGGGGGCCACACCCCGAGCCTTCGACCTGAACGTCTGACCCACAAGGCAGTGGAGCATCGTAAGGAGATGCAGTCCCATGGTAGCCGGTGACCAAGAAATTGGTTCATACGCCATTTGTTCCTTCAGGCAGGATACTGGAGCCCATGTGCACCATTGGTTTGGGATCCGGTTAAAGCGCCGGACATTCGCTTTTCGTCCTCTCATTTTTGTAAACAACACCCCCGCCACGAGAAGGCAGTGAGTAGGACTTCCCTGGCAGGGGCTATATACGCATGGCCATGTGAGAGCATTTCGAGAGGGAGAGCGGACTTTCCCCACTCTCAGCCGTACCAGGGCATTTGGGGTAGTAGTTTACGTATTAGCTACGTGCTTATTAAGAGATTACCGTCGGAGACGGATATCCATGGGATAAGGTGGTGTGCACTTTTAGGGTCGATCTTTTCTAACCCCACTCGTCCTTGTGGGATGGTAGCATCGCTGTTATGCTGGTTGTCTGAAAACACCGTCACACCTCCGTACAGTCAACAGTACGACTTCGCCCTCGGACCTTGGGTTTGCTGCTTTTAGTCTTACCGCTCTTCAACTGACCTGCCTGTCATCGTAGAACCTTCAGGAACGATTTTTCCAGCTAGTATAGCCGGTTGGTTCATTATGATGTCCAAACCCGACCACTACGTCAAGGTAGCAGCAATGATCGGGAAATTAGTGTGAGTGAAATAATAATAATAATAATAATAATAATAATAATAATAATAATAGGAACGGTTCAGTTGCTAAAAATGTAACGAGAACGAATTCTTTCAAATAAAGAAGCTACGCTTATTTTTATGAAGTAAAGAGAAGTTACAGCAGAATCGCCATTGGCTTTTATTCTCAGATAATTCTGAAAACGTCTACCCAGTGTGTTGCAGCATCTCTAGGACCACAACCAGAGTCTTGAAGGACCAACAGAAACCAATCCTTTACAGCCTTCTTTCATGCTGCGATACCATGTCATACACTAACCACCTCTCCGCCTTTTCTAATCAGTCCCAGTGTCGGAAAATAATGCACGGCGTGGAGTTCTCTGGGACGACTCTCGTAAGACATGTCCAAGTTATTGAAGTAAGTTTCAAGATAGTGGCACCAGCCGAATAATCGTCGCTGCGCCCGAACACGATGTCGAACCTCTATATTGTTAACATGATGTCGGCAATGGATGTCAGCCAAAGATGGCCAAGATGGGCCTAAGCTGTTCTGGCTTTCACTAGGTTTGAATTGATTTCATCACTCGTGCAAACACTAACACATACAGTTACCCAGATACACGACCTCGACCACTTCTATCCACTCACTACCCAGGGTGGGTGCAGGATCAGGGTCCTATCAGTCCTGTAAAAGTAATTTTCACTTCGAAGGTGCAAAGTACGTACCATACCTGAGGACACTAATTGCCGACTTATCATTTTATTTATTTATTTGAACACATAAATATTGGTACAGGGGGGCACCAAATATATATGCGCCACACAAAACAATGATAATTTGAAGAGAAGGAGAAAAAAAGGTAATGAACGTGGGGGAATTATAAAAAGAGAGAACAATGATGGGGAAAACGGAAAGGTACAATCAGAAGAAATCTTTCAGTTAAGGAAGATACAACCACTTTTTATGAAGAAAGTAAAAGAAGGTTACAGCAGGATTGCCATTGGCTTCTATTCTGAGCCATATCTGATAACGTCTCTAGCAACTGCGTTACACCGTCTCTCGGACCCCAGCTAGGGAGTCGTGAAGGACCAACAGAAGCTAGCCCTTTGCAGCTTTCTTTCATACCACGAAATTGTATGTTACCACCGAATTGCCGACTAACCGTGCGGATCGCATGGCTTGGGTATTATCGCACAGTAAGACAATATAATCCGCATACTAAAGGTCTGAAAATCTTCCTCCGGGCAACAGATCCATGTCGACGTCACCTACATTCATCAGAGCTGTTTCCAGAACGTCATCGATGCTATAGTTGAAGAGGAATGGTAAGATTGGGCAACCCTGCCCAACCTCAGTGTTTGAATGCGACAACAGAGAGAGGTCGTTGTATGACCTCACTCTGTCTGAGATGTTTGTATATGGGGCTTCCTAGATGTTAATAAACTTCACAGGCTCACCCTTCTTCAATAGACAATCTGAGAGAACAGTTTTGTCCAATGAATCGAAGGCTACCCTAATGTCAAGAAACATGAAATAAATTTTTCTTACTTTTCTAGCATACAAATGCTTTAGTACGCCCGAGGGTGGTAAGAGTACTCTCACCCTCGAAATGCTCTCATCTAGCCACGAGTATAAACTTGCTGTCAGGAAAGTTCTACTCACTGCCTTTTCGCGACGGGGGTGTTGTTTACGAAATCGAGAGAAAGAAAAGCGAATGTCCGGGACATTAACTGGATTAGTGGATATGGGGGATCTACCTAGGGGAGTTGACAAACCATGATTCCAAACCAATGGTGCACACTGGTTCCAGGATCCTAAGGAAAGAAATGGTGTATGAACCTACTGTTTGGGACTGCGTCTCATAACATTGCTTTACTGCCTTGTGGATTAGACCTCTAGATTAAAGGCTCGATGAGTGACTCTCTGAAAAAACCATCTGCTTTTACTTGGACGCCCGGACAGTTTTTTAATGGTAACTACTTTGTGTAGCTCATATATATTTTGGTGCCCCCCCCCCTGTACTAATGTTTAAAGCGAATAAATATATTCTCAGATAGTCCAAAGCTCGTAACCAAAACACTTAAAGACCTAGAAGATCAAGTTCATTAGCTGGACAGTTACCGTTTAAATAAATTTGCGTCCATAAAAAAGGGTACCATAACATAGAAAATACACACATAAAATCCCAAGTGATTTTAAGATGAAAGCTAATCCAGGACATAGCACACAAATTAGTGATGAACCTGGCCTATTTTAGACAGCCACTGAGTAGGATTTTAATCTAATATTACCCAAGTGTATAAAACCTGACAAAAATCCATGCTCACTTGAACAGCTTCGTCATACTTTGTATCATAACCCGTCCTCACCAGTCGAATAGTAAAAACACAATGGCTTCGACTGGACTCAACATTTAATGCCGTTTGTCCTATTCGACGGCGTTTCTGACCTGAAAAAAATTTAAAAATCAATAATCCATGTTTTTAAGAATTGTACGGGATGATCTTATTAGGAAGAACGCAAAACGGTTTTATAATATGTTGCGTGATCTTGGTTTTTCCAGTAGTTAACACTAACATCCTAAGTTCTGAGAAACTAAGGCAACAAAAACGAGCATTTAATTACCTGCACAAAACACATCAAGAGCCTCGTCAGCCGACTTAACTTCTACTTCGACCCCTCCATAAACGTACACATTTCTTTGGGAATCTTCCCGCAATATCCGAGTTGTTAAATTCCTGAATATAAAAGCACTTGTATAAATTATACTACCTTCCTGGTAAGTCTGAAACATCTTGAAGTAGATCGTATATACTGTTGTTATATACTTCAATGAGGGATACGAAGACTGCAAACAAGGACTTCCATGGAACGTTCACAGATATCGATTCGCGAGTTCTTTCAACCATATTCACAGATTTAACATCAGATCTACTAAATAAAGTAAAGCCTAAAAGTTACTTTGGCAAGCGCGAACGCTGCTGGAAATCAGATCGATGACGATCCATGAGTGCATCTGCCTCTGACTGAATAATAAACCCGTTGAAACCATCAGGTTTTACCACCTAAAATTTCGTGATCAATGAGAACCACATACATGTTTTTTTGTCTGGAACTGTCCGATAGAATTAAAAATAACATCAAGTGAACGTGGTAAAATGCCAGGGTCCTTTGAAGAACCCTCCATAGAGTAGGTTTTGCCACTGCCAGTAACTCCATAGGTGAACAGTAAGCCTGTAGAAAAGCATAGCTGAATAAAAAACCCATACCTTTTTTCCCATGCAGAAAGTCAGTAACCACAGGGAAAGCAACTTTCTGAAACACAACATCTTGTCCTGCATCAGGTGAAATAACGCAAGTAAATGAGTGCGAAGTCTGTGTAAACATATTAAAATATATTATTGTGAGTATACTTCTTTCTTATTCCCAGAGCGGTGACCGACAGACTTTATGGTTTTTTCATCACAAACCTCAATACAGGAAATCCCCTGCGAGTAAGACGGTTTAACACGACAAAAGACCTCCACATTTTGAGTGTGTAACGGGTCGATTTCTTTGGAAATTAAAGAACTACGCATCGGAGAACAGGTCAAGTAAGTCCGAACCAACAAAAAACAAATCAATTGGACGCCGTCTACCTCCCAGACCTACTAATACTGCGTATAAACAAACAGATCGAAGATAAGTAAATGGATAATCAAGAGCTATTACTACGCTAATATAGCAGAAAATTTAATTTTAAAAGATTAGAAAGGTTCAGTCAAGAGATTTTGCTAATGTGATGTCATCTGTCATCTATTTCACCACATGTTTTTCAGTTTACTTGACTTCACTGTCTTTCCAGAAGAGCTCATTTGTATTGTTTTTGCTTGATTTCTACTGAACAGCATCCTGTTAGCAGCCTATTCATTTTTGTTGAATGATATTTTACTACTTTTTACTCATCAATATAAATGTGTTCAATCTGTCAGATGAGTAATCTATCTTGACGATCTTTGTCGTGCGCCTACCTACTGCCTAATTTTCGTTTATGGTACAAGGCTTTGCAACTCATAACGATAATTAGCTCAAGTCAGATATTTAGGGAGCCACTTGGAGTTTTTTAAAGCACAACTCAGTCTGTAGCACTTCGAAGGCTATTGCCGGTCTTATGCCCGAGTAAAGTAAGAAGGCTTGACATGGAATCGACAGACCCACCCCGTAGAACACAACTATACCAAAAAACGCTAACCAGAACAGACAACTTGCACCATTTAAACTCTGTCCTCCGAGTTAAGGGAAAATTTATGATGCCTCACGGTGAAAGCCGATATTCCTAGGAAGCGAGAGGGTGATGCTGTTGAGTCGGCTTTCCGAGAACTGCAACGGAGCCACCGGAGGCCCTGAAGGAGCCGAAGAGTCTTAATTAATCAGAGCATGATGAAGCTTTCTAGAATACCAACGTGGCATGCTACTATTGGTCAGTAGCATAATATGTCTTTTTGCGGATTGGCCAAAATATGATGTTGATTTAACGAATGTTAACATCTATAAATACCCATATTTTTCTGTACATAAATGAACCTTGGAGTAAAGTACTTTCCGTATACTTTGCGCCTTCTCTCTCATGTTCTAGCTTGGGGGTCTCAAGAATAGCTTAGGAATCGAGTTACTTACTTACTTACGCTTGTTACTCCTCGTGAAGGAGCATAGGCCGCTCACCAGCATTCTCCATCCAACCCTGTCCTGGGCAATCCTTTCAAGCTCTTTCCAGTTCTTATTCATCTTTTTCATATCTGCTTCTATTTCCCGACGTAATGTGTTCCTTGGCCTTCCTCTTTTCCGCTTCCCTTCAGGATTCCAAGTTAGCGCTTGTCTCGTAATGCAGTTTGATGATTTCCTCAATGTATGTCCTATCCATTTCTATCTTCTTTTCCTAATTTCTTCTTCCGCTGGAAGCTGGTTGGTTCTCTCCCACAAAAGGCTGTTGCTGATGGTATCCGGCCAATGGATGTTGAGTATCATGCGTAGACAGCTATTAATAAATACCTGTACCTTCTTGATGGTGGTTGTTGTAGTTCTCCAAGTTTCAGCTCCGTACAGTAGAACTGCCTTGACGTTCGTATTGAAGATTCTGACCTTGATATTGGTTGAAAGTTGTTTTTTTAGTTCCATATGTTCTTCAGTTGAAGGAATGCCGCTCTAGCTTTGCCAATCCTCGCCTTGACGTCTGCATCTGAACCTCCTTGTTTATCGACGATGCTTGCCAGGTATGTGAAGGATTCCACATCTTCCAGAGTTTCGCCATCAAGAGTGATTGGACTGCTGTTCTCCGTGTTGTGTTTGAGGACCTTGGTTTTCTCTTTGTGTATGTTGAGGCCTACTGATGCAGAGACTGCTGCTATGCTGGCTGTCTTTATCTGCATTTGTTCGTGTGTATGTGATAGGAAGGCTAGGTCATCTGCGAGGTCTAAATCGTCTTATTGGTTCTGAGCTGTCCATCGTATGCCGTAGTTTCCCTCAGATGTCGAGGTTTTCATAATCCAGTCGACCACCAGGAGAAACAGGAAAGGAGAGAGTAGACAGCCTTGTCTTACTCCGGTCCTTACTTGAAATACGTCAGTCAGCTGTCCTCCATGCACTACTTTGCACTGTAGTCCATCGTATGAGTTCCGGATAATGTTGACAATCTTCTCAAGACCTCCGTAGTGTCGAAGAAGTTTCCATAATGTTCTCCTATCTACACTGTCAAATGCCTTCTCATAATCAATGAAGTTGATGTAGAGTGACGAGTTCCACTCAATTGATTGTTCGACGATGATCCGTAGTGTCGCAATTCGGTCTGTGCACGACCGGTCCTTACGGAATCCAGCTTGTCGATCTCGAAGTTGAGCGTCTACTGTGTCTTTCATCCTGTTCAGTAACACTCTGTTGAAGACTTTACCCGGTATTGACAGTAGTGTAATGCCTCTGTAGTTTTCACAATTGTTCAGGTCTCCTTTCTTTGGAATCTTGATGAGGTGTCCTTCTTTCCAATCCATCGGCACTTGTTCCTCCTCCCAAATCTTCTTGAATAGAAGATGAAGCATGCTTGTAGTTACTTCGATGTCTGACTTCAACGCTTCAGCTGGTATATTGTCGGGTCCTGCTGCTTTCCCGCTCTTGATTTGTCTGATGGCCATTCTGATTTCTTCTGTCGTTGGTGGATTGACATCTATAGGAAGATCTGTGTGTGCTGCTTCGATGTCCGGTGGATTCATTGGAGCCGGCCTGTTCAGGAGTTGCTCGGAGTACTCTGCCCATCTGTTCCGCTGTTGTTGAATCTCAGTGATTGGTCTTCCTTCTTTGTCTTTGACTGGTCTCTCTAGTTTACTGTATTTCCCTGCTAGCTTCTTCGTCGTATCGTAAAGCTGTCTCATATTTCCTTCTCTTGCAGCTTTCTCCGCCGTCGTTGCTAGTTCTTTCACGTATTTGTGCTTGTCGGCTCTAATGCTCTTCTTCACTTGCTTGTTTGCTTCTATGTACTCAGCTTGTGCTTGGACTTTCTCTGCTCGTGTTCGGCTGTTGTTAATAGCTGTCTTCTTGTTCTTCCTTTCTTTGATCCTGTTCAGTGTTTCTATAGAGATCCATTCCTTGTGATGATGCTTCTTGGGGCCCAGAACCTCTTGACACGTTGAAGTTAATGCTTCTTTTATATCTTTCCAGTTGTCCTCCATAGTAGTTTCTTCTTCCTTCAGTAGATCCTGTAAGGCTTGGAACCTGTTGTTGAGCGCTATCTTGAATTCATTGAGTTTGTCAGTATCTCGAAGGAGGGCTGTATTGAATCTTTGCAGAGCTGTTTGTCCAGTTGTCCAGTTCTTCTTTAGCTTCAGTTTTATATTGGCCACAACCAGGTGGTGATCTGAAGCTATGTCCGCTCCTCTCCTGGTTCTCACATCTTCCATTGTCCTTCGAAACTTTTTATTGATGCAAATATGATCTATCTGGTTCTCTGTGGAGTTGTCCGGTGAGATCCATGTAGCTTTGTGTATACGTTTGTGTGGAAATATTGTGCCGCCTATGACCAATTTGTTGAATGCACACAGATTTACAAATCTTTCTCCGTTTTCGTTCCTCTCTCCCAGTCCATGCAGTCCCATGATATCTTCATATCCGGTGTTGTCCATTCCGACTTTGGCGTTTAGATCTCCCATCAGAATGGTGAGGTCCTTTCTTGGGCACTTCTCTGTGATTGATTGCAGCCTCTCATAGGATTGATCTTTAACTTCGTCGTTGCTATCATTGGTGGGTGCATAACATTGGATAATGTTCATAGGAATCGAGTATAATGTTCAAATTCCAAGACTTTTCAGATGCCCCTTCTACAAAACAGAGCACTAATCAATACAGATGAATGGAATTTTCGGACAATGCGGGAGACTGATGGACCAACGAAGTAGTTGAATAAATGAGAAGATCCGAATCGGCGGTTCTCGCAATAGGTGAAAACCATTGGACCGAACCTGGACAGAAAAAGATAGAGTCGGAATAGATGTGTAATGTACTCTGGTCTTGAAGAAGAAAATGCTCAACATGCTCAGGAAGTTAGTCTTATGCTGCTCAAAGAAGCATGAACAGTAATTGTATAGTGAGAATTTTAGGGATCCAAGAATATTATTGCAGAATTCAAAACAGGTAAGGAGGAAATCACAATGGATACTATCCAGGGTTATGCACCCACCAATGATAGCAACGGCGACAATAAAGGTCGTTTTTGCGAGGGTTATGATAATTAGAAGTATTTGAATTATAGTATGAACTAATAATCAAAGAAATCATGTAAGTGGATCAAGAACTACTAGATAAGCACGAACGAATGCACTGTATTTAGAATTCGAAATCAGGCATTCAACAAGTACAAAGGAGTCATTAGTTCATTCAAACACTACATTCGCCACAGCTTAAATTAGAGTCTAAGTGTCTATAATCAATTTTACGTCTTCTTCTCAAGTTCATAATGTGTCTGTCCGACAATGTATTGGATAAAGACTCTGTATTATCTAGAATGCACTCATTATTATTAGAATTAATGACTGAAATCGGAACAGACTCACCTGGTTCCTGGAATTGTATTTGATCAACATGTCGATTGTGTGTACTTAAGTCATTGATATCTGGAAGTCGCGCCAGAGATTTCCCGACATTCTTCAGAACAATTCCCGTGGATGGTTGAAGATCATTGCCATGATAATATGCAACTTCTGCAGACTCAAACATCTCATATTCGACCGAAGAATTCTTCCTTTTAATAGTTTTGATGGAGTCCCTTTCGTCACCGAATGTCTGACATTTCTATATTGCAGTAGAAAGGTATCTACTCCCCTCTCCAGCTCATTAAATGTTGAGGCAGCAATAGAATCAATGGCAGTTTTTAACGTCCTGACAAAATTTTCTGCCTGACCATTGGAACAAAGATGACTAGGAACAGTAAACTGATGTTTGCACTCTATACCATTTAATCAGGTAGTGACTGCATCTGCAGCAAAATGAGAGCCGTTATCAGTCACTAACACCATTAGAACACCTTCTCGACTAAACGCCTTTCTTAATGCTTGAATTGTGAAGTCAGGATTTGGTAAAGTTGTAAAAAAATCTTCAGGCCACCTTGAAAAAGAATCAATAACTACAAGCGC